GGGTGATCACATTGTGTGTGTGCGTGTGTAAAAGATAATGATTTAAGTATGTTGATTTTGTTTAATTTAGATCTTATTACTGTATATCAAAAGAGTCCTTCTGACATGTTAGGTTTAACTAAGATAACACATTTTCTCATTTATTAAACATAACAGGGTTCTCAGTACATTTACTCTTAACAATCGAAGACAACATTCGCAAAATATGGCTTCCTTCTCGTTGTATATGCAATCCATGGCTTTAGAGGCGAGACCTTTGGATATGTGGAAGGCATCCGGAGGTCTCGGGGAAGATCTCTTAGATCCATAGATAACATATCTTGACCAGACGATAGCTGTGGAGGTTGTAATAAAACTACATTTGCAGTCACAATGTACCCTGCATGTGATTCGGGACGTTTATTGTAAAGAAAAAAAATCAGTTAATCTGTTTTCTAATGTATGTTTGAATCTTTGCATATATATATATATATGTATATATATATACATACATATATATATATATATATATATATATATATATATACATATATCATACATGGTTATAAAAATACTGTAGTTGTACGCTCCAACTATTATCATTCACAATATCACATGAATAACAAATATATACACGCCAACCAAACATATATCTACAATTAACCCATTGCCGCCGAGAAAAATGAATAATAAATGGGGAAAATGCTGTGTTCATTTTTCATAGTCTTGTGAAATGTCTCTATACATAGATGTACATCTGCTAGTGCTTAGCCACAAAGGAGTCACTTAGTAGATCTTGAAACCTTACCTGATTTCACCTTTTCTTGAATTGGCGGGAAAAAAACGTATTTTTTTACAAATGTTATAAATATCGATAATTAGTATCATGTTATAACATCAGTAACAGCAAAATAAGATAACGTAAAATATTTTCGTAAATCGATGAAAAGGGTGAACGGGCGAGACAGGCAGTACTCATAACTGGCTCACTGGTAATTTAGTACAAGTGTAGCCATCTATGTGTAAAGACAATTAAGCAAGTAAACTCACAGTGGACATGGCATGTACGTACATGTTAGGCCCGTCGGCAATGGGTTGATAATGAAAATACCTCTATAAGCAAATATATATCCAGTATCTGACTTCATATATTCACAAAGCCTTTCCTTATATGGGTAATTGTTTCTCAGATCTAGAAAACATATCTTGAATTTTATACCAATAAGTCACCGCAACTTTTCGCCAGATGAGCAAGATGACCATCGTGCCAACAAGGAGGTACTTTTCCCATCCACTGCCTGGGAACGTGGCGCACTCTGAGGGTTGAATATGCAAACATATTAGTTTAGGTCAGTCTAATTCTCTCTCTCTCTCAGTACACTCACATACACACACACACACACACACATATACATATATATATATATATATATATATATATATATATATATATATATATATATATATATATCTTTATCCTTATATGTATCTATCTTTATCGTTATCTTTATCTTTATCCTTGTTTCTCTTTCCCTTTGTCTTTTTCTTTTTCTCTTTATCTTTCATATATATATATATATATATATATATATATATATATATATATATATATATATATATATACATATATATATATATATATATATATATATATATACATATATATATATATATATATATATATATATATATATATATATATATATATATGTATATATATATATATATATATATATATATATATATATATATGTATATATATATATATATATATATATATATATATATATATATATATATATATATATGCATATATATGTATAAATATATATGCATATATATAATATATATATATATATATATATATATATATATATATATATATATATATTTATATATATATATATATATACATATATATACATATATATACATATATACATATATATGTACATATATATATATTCATATATATATATATATATATATATATATATATATATATATATATATATATATGTGTGTGTGTGTGTGTGTGTGTGTACATATATATATACATATATATATAAAAATACATATATATGTGAATACAGACACACACACACATATATATAATACATATATATATGTGTATATATATATGTATATATGTACATATATATATATATATATATATATATATATATATATATATATATAGATATATATATATGTATATAATATATATAATGTGTATATCTATGTATATAATATATATGATGTGTATATCTATATATATAATATATATAATGTATATATCTATGTATATAATATATATGCATAGATACATTCATTCCACTGCAGGACATAGGCCTCTCTCAATTCACTATTGAGAGGTTATATGGTAGTGTCAACCTTGCCTGATTGGAAGCCCTTCCTAATCAACCGCGGTTCGGCGCGCTAAAACTTGTGCCACGGCTGTGACTTTCCCTACGACACCTGCGTTTGACTTCTCAAGGCGATATGTCGTTTTCTCGGGTTCGAGCTAGCAGTCAGAGCGCAGGCATTTTTACGACCGCCGCGACGAAGAATTGAACCACGGATCACAAGGGCCAAAGTCCAGTACGCTAACCACTGGACTATCGCGGCAGTATACACACACACACACACACACACACACACACACACACACACATTTATACATATATATATATATATATATATATATGGGCAAAGCCCTAGGGAACCTTATAGGCAGACGTTGGGCCCCACAGCCTGCCACCCCTCTTTATATGGTGGCGTCAACCGGGAGAATTGCCCGAGACTTAACGTCAGGCGGGCTATTTGGGTAGGAGCTTGGACCATCCAGGCTTTGTGGCAGGATGATCGCTTACTCCTGCTATTAAGAGAACTGAAGTGGTTGGGAGTTGAAGTGGCTGCCCTCTTGAAGGTAAGAAGACTTGGCAGTGGCATGATAGGAGTTACAGTTACTACTGGTCAAGGTGGGGCGATGGTCACCATCTCCAGAGAGTAGCCATAGCAATCTCCAGTCGACTTCAACTGTTGGTAGTAGAGGCAACAGCATTGAGACTGAAGCATGCTATTGGTTTCATGTCTATTATTGCTGTTTACACTTCTACAGATGTTAGAAAACTCGATGAGAAAGAGGCATTCTACATCAAACTAACACCTGTGAAATCTGTATCTAGTTGTGATCGAGCTGGCTATGAGATGTCTGTTGGTATCCATGGCTTGGGAGCTGGTCTCAGTAGCGAGAACAGTCTCTGATCGGTTCACAGAGCTCATAAACCTGACAGACCCAGTAGTTCTGTGGGAGACCTTTAAGCATGATGTAGTGCCCAAGGGCAAGGTAGAATTTCATATCACAGGAGAAATTGGAGACCACAAGATGCATGTGGTTTGACTGAATGGTAATCAGGATTTCCACCATTCCTTAATGCGTAGGGCTTGGACATTGCTGAGAAGATACAAGGAACAGTTCATCAGGAATCTTGCTGAGGAGATTGAAGGCAAATTCTTAGTAGATGACCTACCAAGCTCTGAGAAAAGTGAACTCCAAGCTTTCCACACGGATAACTGCAATCTACTCAGAGGATGAACAGATCTTAGGTTGTGTTGGGATTTGTTGGGCTTGGGCTGAGTATTTTGAGCAGCTGGACCAGGTAAACACTCCAACAGTTAGTCTGGACACAAGTGGTGTCACAGACTAACAGTCACAGTTTCAGACTCATCCATAAGCGAGGAACCTTCTACCCTAACTGAGATTAGGGAGGCTATCTCTAAGCTGAAGGGTGGGAATGCTGCAGGCATATGTAATATCCCTGCTGAACTGAAAGAGGCCGGGGGAGAACCTATGGCATATGGTCAGGCTTGCATATAGTCTTGGCTCGCATCTGGCAGTCTGGTTCTATTCCCCTAGACTTGTTAATGAGTGTGGTCTCTAGAAAAGGATCGATGGGACTCTTGCAACTACCATGGCATGACACTGCTCAGCATACCAGGCAAGGTTTTTGCCAACTTTCTTTTGAAATACATCTGTGACCACCTACTAAGGCACTAGAGACCAGAGCAATCTGGATTCATTCTTGGCAGGTACACAATAGACCTTACTCTACCACTTTGAGTCATTGTGGAATGCTGTCTTGAGTTTGGTCATAGGCTACTTATAGCCTATATCAACCTCAAGAAGGCATTTGACTCGATACATCACGAATCGCTATGGGAGATCCTGAGCCTTAGGGGATTCCAACATATATAGATACTGAAATCCCATATACTGATATTGAAAGTGCTGCAAAGTGTGGTGGAGGGGACCTGTCGAGCCTCATCCCTGTTAACTCAGGAGTAAGGCAATGCTGTGTTCTTGCACTTTTCAACTACTATCCAAGGTTACTGTGGAGCAACACTGGGCAATATCAAGGTCACCGACCTTGACTTTGCTGATGATGTTGCTATCCTATCTGAATCTCTGGAATCTCTGGTGGTGGCTCTTGATGCATTCAACAATATGGTGAAGCCCTTGAGCCTAGAGGTCTCCTGAACCAAGATCCAGGATTTGGGGGGCCTGTTAGGGGAACCTGTTCAGTTGATACAAGCTGGCAATAAGGACACTGAACTCACAGAGAGCTTTAAGTACTTTGGTAGTGCAATCCATGTCTCTGGGCTGTCAGACCAGGAAGTCAGTAGACAGATTGGTCTAGCAGCAGGAGCCATGAACTCCATCAACAAAATTATTTAGAGATGTTGGTACCATGCAGAAGGATCAATCTATGTGCTTTTAAAGCCTTGATACTGTCAGTTTGGTCTATGGAAGCAAAACCTGGATGCTATCTAGTGCTTGGAGTCTCCACTTGCCTTGTAACAAGTCCCTACCCAGATCATGGGGTACAGTTGGCAGAAGCACATATCCACCCAACTGATACACCGTGAGACTGGCATGGGACCTGTTACTTGTATAATCCAGAACCACCACTTAGGCTATACAGGCACCTAGCTCGTGTCCCAATGGCTGACCCTGCTCATTAGGTTGTCTCTTCATTCCTAGGAGGAGACCTAGGAAGTAATGGTTTGGGCAGCTCGACCAGACCTGTTGTGAGGAACTAGAGATGGGCATTCCTGGAGGCTCACCATGGATGGAAGTGATTTGGGGTTGCCGCTATGCGCCCCCGTCGGTGTTGGCCCCCGTTGATATATATATATGTATGTATATGTATATGTATGTATATATATATATATATATATATATATATATTTAATTTCTCTCTCTCTCTCTCTCTCTCTCTCTCTCTCTCTCTCTCTCTCTCTCTCTCTCTCTCTCTACCTCTCTACCTCTCCCTATTTCTCCTTTCCTCTACTGCTCTCTACCTCTTTACTACCCTCTCCCTCCTTCTTCCTCCCTCTCTCATTTTCTATCCTCTCTCTCTCTCTCTCACTCACTCACCTGTCACTGACTCCTTTTTTGTAGGTTCCCTTCTTACGTTGTAATTTTCTGTTAAAACCTCAGGCTTTTCTGAAAAAGAATATGGCAAATTATTGTGACTTTTCATAAGTGCGATATCGGAGTTCTGTAAGAAATAAGCACGACTAATGAGCGCTTATCATTATAATTTTCTCTACTACTCTCATTGCTTTTGTTGTTTCGGTACCATTGATTATACGATACCTAGCAGTAATATAGTTATTGTTATCAAGGTACTTTTTCCATGATATTGTTATTACTGAACCATTTTCAAAGAAAATGCGCTAAAGTAACACCTACCATAAAATATCGCACAAATTGTTAGGGTCAAAAAAGGGGAGGAGCTAATAACATCACGTTTAGCCAGTGAGATTGTCCCATGAGATATCAGACATAACTAGATGTATAATTATTTGTATATTTCACTTGATATTGTTATAATTACCAGAAGTAGAACCTAAATCCTCCTCTTTTATTTATGATAACAAAGTTTCTTACCACTGACAGCCGTCAGAATACTCCTGGTGTCTCAATTTCATTTTTGGACGCCTAAATGGAAGTGGAGCTGCCTTTTTTGATGAATCTTGATTATCATATTTATCCCTATTAGTATAACTGTTATTGTTATTCTCATTATTTGTCAAGATCTTTGTGATGATAATAGCATTATTGTTCTATGTGCCTGTGTTTATGTGTATATGTACAAATGTGTGTGCGTGTGTGTGTATGTGTGTGTGTGTGTGTGTGTGTGTGTGTGTGTGTGTGTGTGTGTGTGTGTGTGTGTGCTTGTGTATACATATAACATAAATACAATGGGGGCTGGATATTCGTATACCTGAAGTAACCACGGCGCAAGTTTTAACTAATTGTCCAAGCATCTTGGCATTTTGTCTGGCTTCTTCGGCCTCTTTCTGTGCCTTGTTCAGTTTCTCTTGAAGCCTTTCGCTCTCCTTCGTCATCCGCACGATCTCCGTCAGCGTGTCTGAAAGTTTATCCTGAAAATCCTGGCTGTCCTTCTTCGCAAGGGCGGCTTCCTTTTCCGCCTTCAGGATCCTCTTCTCGAAGCCCTCAGTGGCTTTTTGAGCTCGGATCACCTTCTCCTGCGTCTGCTTAACCTGCTGGTGGTAGGCACTGGCCTTCTTCTCCGCTGCCTTTATAGATTCACTCTCCTTCTTCCGCCATTCCGTTTCGGCCCTTTGCCACGATGTCCGAGCGTCGTCCTCTGCCTTCCTCGCCCGCCGGAGTGCGTCGGAATAGGCGGACGACAGGAGCGCGATGACGAGGCCCGCGATGCACAAGAGGGTAAACCTGCGGCGGGAGAGAGGCCCGTTATTGACTTTGGAAATTCAGATATCGAGAGCTGGGATGGTGCATAAGTATCACTTTAGGCTCAATGATATAGTGTTATTATACTTACAGAAAGATGATGCATGTAGCATTTGACTTTTTCTTTGTGTTAGAGGCGCTCATGGTGTTGCGGGCACCTATGGAGTAAGGTAAGGTATTGGATACAGACATTTCATATAATCTGTGTATATCATTTGTTCATCGTCTGTCTCGGTCTAATTTCTTATTCTTTGACTTTAGATCGCATTATTGAGTGATCATGGTATGTGGTCAAGTATTTAATCTTTATCACGAATATCATATTTATTTATATTCTCATTGCGTGTTTCCCATCTTGACCTGACCTAACTTTCTCTCACTTCCGGTCGGTTGGTACGTGAGATGGCTTGAAAGACAGCTCGTTGTTCCCGTTAATTGGTCGTTTGTAATTGTTTACACCATAAGAATACACGTAGCTTTGTTACATTGCTCAATGGTGACACGTTCTATCGGCGCTAAAGCAGAGTTTGTAACGCGAATTTTGTATAAATTTATTATTTTGAGCATAGTGTTAAAGGAATAGCCTATAACTGGTTCATTATTTTGCATCCACAGTTGGCCTAGGTTAATATTTATCCATTAATAAAATCAAATTGAAAATTTAGACCCGGATAATAAAAATAAACATGATTTTGTAAGCCCACAAAATTCGTCTGCCTCAAAAACGACTAGTGGCG